ACTGCATACTGCCCACAGCATCCATAGTTACTTTCTGGTAACACCGATCAAGTCTCTTTGTGTCATCACTTCCAGCTTTCTTCAACTTCAAATGAAATGATCACAATTCCTAATCAAGTTAACACAATTATTTAAATATGTGTACAGTAAGCCCTGTGTATATGTTGCTGTAATAAGGGAAGAACACATTCATCATCATCCTGGCTACATAATAGCAAATCAAAATTCAGCAGTATTTGGGCTAATATTCTATGAGGCTTTGCTGAGAGGTTAGCAGATGAATTATTAATCGTTATTTTCCAGTTTATATTTTTCTTTTGTAAGAATATAGGAAGTTAAATTACATATTTTAAGTTCACACATATGAAACTATTTTTCAGTATTGAAGGTTAAAGCAACTTAGACCATATCAGTGATAAGAGTGTCTAGTAATTTATTGGTATTTTTCATAGCAATTTAAAAATACACAGTTTATTTATATTAAAACATGCTTTTAGTTTATTAAAGGTTCGAGTTTTACATATTGGCTCATAAAAGAATTTTAAACTTAAAAAATAAAATCTATATATAGTATAGCTTTTATTGAATTGTATGAGATGAACTTTTATTTATACATGTAAAATCTTTGGAAACAACAAAATAATGAAGAAATTAAAATTCCAACTTCGTATGTTTCTTGTATGCTCAGATCCCACCTTCTAGAAGCTGTTAAGTAAGAAAGGCAATGGAGATACACCAGACAAGTGATTATCTGACACACATTCTGATGGAAACCTGGTAAAGTCCCCTAACTTCTCTGGGTTTCAAAATTTGTCCATAAGGTGGAGAGAGCAGCAGTATCCATGTAAGTAAAAGGATCTGGATTTTAACCACTGATTCTAAGGGCGCCAGTGTGCTCTTGAGTCAATAGGTAAAGCTCTATCTACATCAAAGGAAATTACTCATGCCCAAAAGCTCAATAGACAATTAAGAGCTTAAATTGTGCAATGTTTTCCTATCTTCTCCAGAGGCAACCTCAGTTGCAGAATTTTTAGTTTGAGATGTGAATTTAATTCAACCTGAGTGCTGATAATATGCCTTTCAGTTAGTAAAGAAAGGAGGAGAAGAGAGAAAAAGAAAGAAAATTATTTTTACTGGGAGATAATTTTACATGTAGAAATCTACAATTTCAAATACATCCAACCTCGATGAACAGTAAAATGAAGACACTCTAGCAGTTCATATTATACATCACTGCAGACACTAAGTTCCCACAATTATTTTTGCTAAGTATTGCATTAAACTTCAAAGGTTAATCAAGGGTTATCAATACAAACTAAAACTTCATGCAAAAGTATCACTTATGATAACTTACAATTTTTTGTATGAAACTATGTCCTTAAAAAAATAGGTAACATGTACTGAAAACAGTACTATGCTAATATTTCCTGCATAAATAGGTTTCTGAGGCAAACTAGCTGTAAGCTAGAGAAAATAATCAACCACCTAACAAGGCAGATTATATTTTTTTGTTTCATTCACTGCCCTCTGAAAGGGGTCATCTTTAAAGGAAAAGTTTTTTTGGCTACAATTTTTATTTTATTAATAACTACAAACTAATTTATTTCTAATGTTCAGAAGTCCCCATTCAGCAAGCACTGAAGGCTCCAGAGACCAGAAAACATTTTGTATTTAAGAGAGTAATTCCATGAAACTCATTACTTCATATTATAAAAAGACAAATTAATACATATACTACAGATCTGTGCTATTTAATGCAGGCCACTGGCCTGATGTGGATAATGCAAACTTAAAATGTGGCTAATCCAAATTAGTAAAATACACACCAGATTTCAAGGAACTAGTACAGAAGAAGAATGTAAACTATCCTAATGAGTGTTTACAGTGATTACATGGTGAAATGGTAATAGTTGGGATCTACTGAGTTAAATAAATTATATTATTAAAATTAACACCAGCTGTTTCATTTTGTCTTTTTTAATGCGACTGCTAGAAAATTTTAAATTACATAGTATATGGCTCACATTATTTTTCTATTCTATAGCACTGCTACAGAAATAGCAGATTCAATTATATGTTTAATATTAATCCCAACCCATTCATTAAATTTTTGTATAATTACAGTATTTGAGATAACATATTTAATATACTACCACAAAAGGCCTGAGCTTAGAATCAACTATGCCTCTACGCATAAAAACAAAACCAGATAAAACCTACTCTGATCTTTTTCATCTTCTGTATATTGGCAACTGTGCTAAACTTTGGTTAGATAGGAGTCTGCAAACAGGCAAAAGGGGTCTTTTTGGTTGATAGAAATGTTCTAAAACTGGATTGTGGTGATGACCGCACAACTATAAATGTATTCAAAAGTCACTGGATTGTATACTTCCAGCCAGTTAAGTTGTACAGCGTGTAAATTATACCTCAATAAAGCTGTTTTTAAAAAAAAAAGTGCCAACTAGAGCCCAGCAGATCTAAAGTGCCATCTAGAAGCTGCATATAAATTTCAGGTGATTCAAATATTATTTTTCAATCTATCATATGACTCAATATTGCAACAAAAATTTTTCCGTGAAGGTCCTTTCATGTGCAATGGGTCCAATTCAGCAGTGGATTATGTAGTCACTAATTGGAGGTATAAGTTGAAAAAGACAAAGAGAACATTAGAGTCACTGAGTGGACAGTTTATTTGCTTTAGGGGTATCCAGCTCAGGCAACAAGAGCACCCAGCTCAGGCAATCTTATCGCAAATCCCTCACCCAATCTGGGCATCATATAATTGGACATCTGCTGGCATTCACCATCCTAGACAGAATACTAGAATATAAAATATAGAGTATACAAAAATTAATCAAAAAAAAAAAAAAAGAAGAAGAAACAAAACAATGGATACAGTAAGTACCACATAAAGAACTCACATTGAACAGGAAGATAAGATTTCAAGATGTGTGCCCGAACACAAACATAAATACAAACATTTGCATGGATATACTGAGTTGCCTCAAGGTCTCATTTTAGAAGTAAACCAGGTGGTTATTCTTTTTTTTTTTTTTTT